AGGGCACGACTCTCAAGTCCCAGCATCTGGGTCAGCTGTATAGAAAGGAAAATAAACACTGAAGAGGTCATGCCCGGAACGCTCTGGGACACTCTTGGCCAAAGGCTGGGAACACATTCCTGTCCCTCCTCCCCTGCCCAGTTGCTGGAAAGAGCCAATTCACCATTAAATCAAGACAGAAAGCACTGTGCAAAACAAATCTGCCTCAGCAGAGAGCAGTGACTCCTTCCAGCCTCTCCCCCTCTCTGAAATGTCTCCTTTTGCCTTATACAGTATTAGGAATCCTATTTCTCTCATGTTGGGCTGAGAAAACAACGTGGGTTCCTGAATTTCATCACAGTAATTCCAGAGGGCTCTGTGGTACAGCAGGGCCTGTCTGGAGTACCACATGCTGAGCATGGGAGCCCAGGGGTAGGTACATGCCCCCAACAGGGCTCCACCGTGTCCTTCCCTCAGAAAGACCGCAAGAAATCCTCTCTTCTGCAGTTTGTCCCACACTTTGAAACTCACTTCTGTAATTCCAGCCAATCCCACATTTTCTTACTGGAGTTTTCCCACAGTCCTTCCACTCTCAACTATTTTTAACAGGTCCCCTTCCTTTTTCATGTTCCCGTAGATCTGCAGGGTGCAGCACTCATCATGCTTCCATGCTGGTCCAGACTGTTCCACCCCGCTGAACTTTTCAGGGGACATGAAGAGATGCTCTCTAAAAGGAGTATTCTATTTCTAAAGGTTTTTGTGAAGAACAGCACCTTGGAGTTGAGCAGCAGTACCGGCTGCTCTACAGGGACAGAGAAGGTGGATGAACGGGGAAGGTTTCCCTTTCCATTTGAGGAGCTGAATTTCTGTGTCTTCACCACTAATGATATGGGCTGCTGAAGCTAACCAGTTCCTCCTACTGGGCATCATCCTAAAAACCAGTAGCCCTCAGGAGTTAGTTGCTGATTTTCTCCCCGTGATGTCAGCAACAAAACTTTTCTCTGGAGAGAAATTTTTTTTCAAAATCTCAAAACTTTTTCTCTGGAGAAAAATAATCCACTGAGTTGGAAAAAAAGTTGTCCAAATAAACTTCCAAATACAAGTTCTTAACTCTGTCCTTGTCTCTCCTGTGATGGCTCCCCAGCCATACCTGCAGACCCTGGGCAAGCGCATGCCAGACCACCCCTCGCTGACAAACACAAGACAGCAGAACCACAGCTTGGCTCCGTTCCCTCTCCTAACTCGTGAGAGTCTCTTGACAGTTCTGATGTTTTAATAGCAGTTCCTGAAAGAGTTGGTTTTATTTCCCTTCCTGCCCTTTGTACCTTTAGATTCATGTAGCAATCTGAAGGGCATATTGAAAAACAAAACCAGGAGTTTTATGAAGACACCAAAAATCATGACACTTTATGAAAAAATCACAAGAACAAGCCATGCTGTGCCCTCGGTTAGCAGCAGTGAGGTGGGGGTGCAGACAGGAGATAACAGAAATCAAACTTCAGGGAAACTTGTAATTTCCTTTTCCTATCAGGGGCTCTCTCATGTGTCGTTCATACCCACCTCCCACAGGGAATGGCCACAGTCACAGTTTCTGTCCAAAGAACATACAATATCTTGATGTACGAAACCAGTGACTAGCGAAGCAAAGAGCAGAGAACTCCCTGTGGGAGCTGTGTGACCCGTCCCAGGGGCAGGTGGTGCCGATCTTCAGTGCTGGGACATAGCCCCGGGGTTCAAAGAATGATAGAATCATAGAATGGTTTGGGTTAAAAGGGACCTTAAAGCTCATCCAGTTCCAACCCCCTGCCATGGGCAGGGACACCTTCCACTAGAGCAGGTTACTCCAAGCCCCTGTGTCCAACCTGGCCTTGAACACTGCCAGGGATGGGGCAGCCACAGCTTCTCTGGGCACCCTGTGCCAGCGCCTCAGCACCCTCACAGGGAAGAACTTCTGCCTAATGTCTAACCTAAATCTCCCCTTTGTCAGGTTAAAAGCCATTCTCTGGGCTACCTCCAGTGCAAGCAGGCAAATGCCATTTTCCTTCTGATCTATTACTATATTAAACCTCCCCTAGAAAATGCCACAGCCAACTGATGGAGCAGGAGTAGACACTCCATTAATATTAAATTACTAAAACTGCAAGAGGTTAATTAGTTTAACCAAATAATTACTCAAATAGTTGCAAATGGACTAAAGCCCAAATCCAAAGCTGTGTGCTTGTTTATCTGTCTGGAGATTCTCCATATCTTGTGATACTGAAACTGATCTCATGAGAGGCACAGACCTCACTGCAGATCTAAGTATTTCTGCAGTGCTGTATGGCACAGCCCCAGCCCCCGGAACGCAGGTCTGACTCCCTTCAGTCTGCAGGTTACAGACAGCAGTCAACTGCCCTGTAAATCCAACTGAGAGAGGGAAGAGAGCAGTGGTGAGCAAAACAACAACGTTGGCACAAGAAAAGAGGGAGAAAACTGACCAGAAATACGTTTAGGCTCTAAGTTAGAATACCTTTAGTGACTCATGCTATTGCAATTCAATAAAGGATTACTGCCCCCAGCTGCCAAATCACATGTTAAAGTCAACTGCTCTCCATTTCACTTTAAATTAAAATGCTACAGGCACAGTGACAGCCAAGAAGTTCACTTATGTGACTTGGAGAGATCGATAGCTGGGCTCTGGTAAACAGTCTCAGTTTGAATTTCCAGAGCTTTTGTGGAGACAGGCATCCTTATAAGATTGCTAATCACTACACCCATGAGGTTCTGGCAAACAAAGAAGCCTAACAAGCTGTAAGACAAAGTCAAGACATTTATGAAAAGAATTATAGCACAATAGTGCTTACGACATCCTGGTGACTCCGTTGTTCCTATTCAGATAGGCTGGGGAAATGCCCAAGGCAAATTATTCCAGTGTATGGTGTGTTTCTTCTAGGCCTTCTGTAACATATGGCTTTTTTGCACCTATCAGTGCAATAATATTCCATGGGAAGAAGTTGTCTGCAAGCAGTCACTTCAGAAAAAACTTACCATCTGATGTTAAACCCCTTGAAAGTGGGTTAATAAAATACCAACTCACAGTGCAGATGACCTTTTTAGAAATACATTTTACTTTACTAATTTCAGTTCAACTAGTATCTTCTCCAGGCAAACACCCATTTTAGCGAACAATTTCAAGGACATGAAAAGATTATTTCATTCATCTTTCTTAGAAGGTAATTTCCACAAAGCAGTGTTTTGTTTGCCTGGTCCTTATGATACCACTGTAGACTGATTTCATACACACGTAAACTTGCCACAATCACCAATTCACTGCTTCTGTCTTTCAGCATCCTTCTTTATGTTACTAAACTTCTAGTTGTCCCTAAACATATCCAGGGGATGTGTTTTTAAAAAAGAGTTACAGCATTGGCAATATAATCCTACCTGAGTCTATCCTGGAGATTAACTTCGTAACTGAGGGATGTTAGCAGGAAGATCAAGTACTATTAACCTGCCGCTACCCAAAGTCACTGATAGCTGTATACAGAACTCCCTTACTTTACACTATTTACACAGCTATCTTTACTACTTAGCATGAAAATTTACAATGTAGGTAAACTTCAGGTAATAAAGCTTGAAAGAATCTGCATGGACAAAACAACCTAGAAGTTACTGACATCTTTGTCAATGGGAATTGGCATAAAGACTCGGGCCAGGATACAAGCAGCCTGAGGAGGTGCAGGTACCTCTTCCAGTCTTGATTATACCACATGCTAAATGGATTTAGCAGAAAGCACCCGAGCCAGTATACAGACATTTTCCCCATCCTTCCCAATGTTATGGAACAGCCCTGTTACAGGCTCAATATAAAGTCGTTACATAAACATAGCTTGTGTGATGGATGTCTACGGTACATTCATCTTAGAGAAAAACCAAAGCAGCCAGTAAAATGCAACTTCTAGGTCCTATTTGTTTTTATTGCAGAGCTTTGAGAAGTACAGAACCATGGTTAACCAAATACACAACATTAAAGTTTATTTGCAACAGCTTTACCTGAGAGATGCTCTTACACTGTAAGTGTACCTGAGCAGCAAAGCCTCCAAAATGTCCCTGATGATTTTCTCCTCCGAACTGGAATTTGTTACCCCCTCAGTTGTGCTGAGACAGCTGTTTGCAGAACATCCTGTAAAACAGATCACTGGCATAATCTTGGTCAAAACACCACCACTTGGGATATTTTTAACCTGCAACCCCAGAAGCAGTTGTATCAGCAAACTGGAGAGAGCAGACACTGTAATGTGAGGAGAGCAACAAGCAGTTTGGGAATGAGGAGAGAAGGAGGTCAGCAGGACAA